GTTCTCTAATTTCTTGATATATTTGCTGCGAAAACATAGGCATCGAATCATGTGGTCGGGAAAAATCAATATTCTACATTCGACAAAAGAAAGCGAAGTTGTGTTCTGTAAATGATACCATGTCGAAGATAGAGACGACGTCCCTAAGAGGATGGCGTAATTGCCACACATGTAGTTGAGATGTCTTAACTCGGTAAAAAGAGAGAGAGAGAGAAAATCACTTTAATTAGAGCACAGATTAAGTACCCAAGATATCCTCCGCCTGAAGTACCAGGGCGAGCTGATCTTCCAGTTGCGGCGACGCCAACCATGCACTCCAGGAGGGTGGTGGGGGGTTAGGAAGAAATGAGGTGGTGTAGGCGACCGGGCAATGAAGGAGACAATGTTCTTGTTTGGCATAGGGAGCTGGGCAGTTGGGACAGGAAGGGTCTGATCGATAGCGGAAGAGGTAAAGGCGAGCAGGTGTGACGAGGGTGTTTGTCTGGATTTTACGGAGAATGTGGTTCTGCGCGACACTAAGCTGTGGATGTGGTCGAGGTAGAAGTCCATGAGATATACGGATCTGTTTGTAATGTAACTTGAGTGTTTTTTTGTATTCTGCTGCCTCGTCATTGGTCGGGGGGCTTAGCCAGGGGATTGCAGGTGCCCGGCTGTGAAATTCGCGGGCGAGCTGATGTACCAGCTCATTACCTGCTATCCCTGCATGACCAGGGACCCATCGAATCGTGACCGAGGATGAGGAGAGAGAGTGTAGGGCCATTTCAAGGTCCTCTCGAAGATCGGCAGGAATTTGTCTCTGTTGCAAGGAGCGTATAGCAGCCATAGAATCAGAGTAGACAGTGTAAGCGGACGTGCGCGGCAATTGGGAGAATGATATGATGGCATGGATAATGGGGACAAGTTCTAACGCGGTGATTGACGGGGGGTCGCTGTATGGACCGCACGTGTGAAGAATAGGTAAGGAATGTTTAGGTATGTAGATTGCGTACGCAGCCGTGCCGGTGTCCAAGATGGAAGCGTCGGTATAGGCTACCGTCTGTGTCTGAAATGGTGGATTATGATGCAAGGCCTGAGCATCTCTGCGACCGTCGTCCAGGCCCGGAGCCATGCGGCGGGGCAGAAGAGCGAAACGCAGATTAGAGGGCAATGGCGAAGCGGGTAAGTGCAAGTAAAAATCAATTGGTGAGAGTCCAGCTTGTTCTATAGGATCCAGCGCCCTTGATGTGACCCCGAGAGGCGGGCTAGCTGTCGGTCACGATGGAGGTGTAGGAGTGAGGAGAGGGGAAGGAACAGGCCGGTCTCGTAGAGTCTTTGCGTTGAGGTATGGATTGGAAGGTTAAGGGAGGCCTTGTACAGAGTGCTTAATGCAGAGCTGAGTTTATTAAGTTGCTGTCGTGTGAGCGTGAACTATGGAACCGAATAAAGAATTTTACTAAGAGCCAATGCATGAACCAATTGACTCGCTTGTTTTTCATTGAGGCCCGCACGTCTTTGCACGACTCTGCGGACAAGATGTGTCACCGAGTGGCACGTGATTATCGCCGGAGTGATGTTAGCCTGATTTGATCGATTGTGGAGATGGATGCCGAGGACCTTTCATAAGGATACTCGCGGGATGGTCTGATGGTCTAAATAGAGAGAAATGAGATGGTTTACAGAGCGCTGATACTGGGTTTGAGACAGCAGGAGTAATTCCGATTTTTCTGGGGCCGGTTTCAGCCCTGCTTGGGTTAGGAACGCAGTTATGGTGTCTAGACCTTTCTGAAGAGTAGATTCAACTTCCCCTGGTGATCCGTGAGTGCACCAGAGGGTGAGGTCATCAGCATAAAATATGTGGGAAAGGTGGGGTATCTGCTGCAGGCAGCGAGCTAGCTGGGCCATACCCAGATTGAAAAGAGTAGGGGAGAGGACAGCCCCTTGAGGTGTACCTCGTGTGAGTGAGAGTGGTTGGGACAACTCGCCCCCTATACGAAAGCATGCAGTGCGGTCCTTAAGGAAGTTTTGGATGTAGGTATTCGCGACTCCAACTAACTATAGGTGGCGCCACTCATTTTCCAAGATGGCGGGTTTAGTGAGGGTCAGAGATGCGTGCGCCGCTGTTGAGCCGGTCTAGTGTGCTGGCTTCACTGAGCGACACTAATATATATTCGGTAATACGAGTAAGCTAATCTTTTATGAGCGCAAGTCATATTTTTAACCTCAAAACAAGAACGGTGTTTAACGTATTATTTACAGAAGGATGCGCGTTTTAATTCTGGAGCGAAACCGAAACTTACCTATTTTGGATTTAATTTCTCGATAGAGGTCTTAATTTCGGATTCTTTCATGACTCAAGATGTGTCTTAACATCGAAATTATTTACTTATAAATGTTGTTCTCGGAAACTTTATTTTGTGACGTACTGTTCGATCCAGGCTGATATTTGTAGTTGTTGAAAAAATCAGTGCTGATATCTGCGTTCTCGCTGCCTTTTTCTCGCTCAGATAATTGTCATGGGAAATAATGACAATTATCCCAGCACAGGAATAAGAGAATAATTCCAATTTTTACAATATGTCCACGAAACGCATAAACTAATAAACGCTGCTCTCACTGCAACAGCCCAAGACAAAATCCGACTCAGACAGCTGAAGTGTGTGTGTGTTTTTATAGCACCGCGTGACGCGTAGGACTTCATATTACATCCAGTGTTTGACTGTTTGTCTATCTTGATAACTATGTCAGAGTTTTTCATATGCTAAAAAGAAAACAGAATTATACCTTTCTGGAAAGACTATTATGCTTAAATAGCTTATTCTCGTGATCTTGGCGTTGATTGGAGGCATACATTGCCGCGATTTCTATTATTAATACTAATAATATTAAAATTCAAATATTTGAATAAGTAATTCTTCAAGCTCTAATTTAATTTTCTTGCGTATAATCTAATTTTAAACGCGCGAAGAAATATGACAATGAAAACTGGGCTAATTAGCATCACTGGTTCCAATTGCTGCATTTTAATTACCAATGAAATAAAAATAGTCTAAAATCAATTAAAAGATTCTAGCTAATGTGAGAAATCCATGTATAATTACATTAATTGTGGGTAAAGTATATTGTGCTATCAAAGTCGCAACTTTTGACAATCGGCGAAACGTCCAAAGTCGCCGCCAATAGACCTCCAGACCAAATGCCCAAATGTAAAAAAAAAAAAAAATGTTTTTTTTTATTTATTAGTTTTTTATAACCTTTATTTACTTTTGTATTTGCTCGCCGTCATTTTGCCAATCTCAGCCTTTCCAGTTCGAAGGAACGCCTACCTGCTTGCACGTCTGCTCACTGCAGCACGTTTCGTTGGCGTTGGAAGCCGGTGAAACAGTAGTGAGTTCTAATATTGCGTATACGACCGAACTCAAGCCCTGTGTGCTTGCGTTAGCTTTGCGCGTTCCACACTGCGCGTGCGCGGAGCCCGAAATTCCGGTCTTGGATGGCGCATGGCGATGAGGCGCAGGCACAACGTGGGGCACGCAACTCGAACGCAAACGCACACCGCTTGCGTTTGCTTCTACGCGCAATACTAAAACTCTCCAGTAAGGTACAATCCCATACCGGCTGCAGCACTACGTTGGGACAGTGAAGAGCGTTGTTTGCATTCGGAAACGACATTTCGCGAGCCATGATCGCGAGCAGTTCCACCGTGCCCGCTGAGGAGGAGAATCGGGAGACCCTCACTAGAGCGCTTTCCGTTTTCGCCGCGGGAGGGCGAGCGTCGAGCTGGAGACGCGAATACAAATTTTGTCCGCATTCTGTTTCTCGAACTGAAGCGAGTATGTGATCATGACTTATGTTGTCAAATGCTTTGCGAACGTCTACTGTGACGAGCGCATGCACCTGACAGGAAGATGGGGAGAGGAATGTGTGCTGGAGTAAAAGGAATAGGTCTTGAGTGGAAACATGGGAACGAAAGCCGATTTGGGTGTGTGGCAGGAATGCAGTGGCTTCAAGATGTTCTTGAAAACGATCGAGGACCATCCGCTCCATCGTCTTGCTCACGCAAGAGGTTAAGGAAATGGGACGGAGGTTATTAAGTGATGGGGGTTTTCCAGGTTTGGGGATCATGATAATAGTAGAAGATTTCCATTCCTTTGGGTATGTACCCTCCGACCAATGTTCATTTATGTAGGTCAGGAGCGGTTTTTTATTCGCTTCTGGAAGGTTACGGAGGAGGCAGTACGTGATGGTATATTCTCCTGGGGCTGATTTTCGTGAGTTTTTTGCTAGGGCCAAGTGTAAGTCTGCTAGTGTGAAAGGGCTGTCTAAAGTCGGGTTTTCAGGGCCCGAGTAGGAGGGGTAGTTTGAGGTCAATGCTGGAGGGATGTATAGGTTCTGTAAGGCTTGGATAAGGTTAGTGCTACCTTGTAAAGCTAAGTGTTTGTCTAGCGTGGGAGCGGGAGGTGGCTGAGGCCCTAGAAGTGAACGGAGGAGATGCCATGCGGTCTTTTGGTGGAGGGTACCGTTTATCTGATCACATACTCTGTTCCAGTTCGAGATGTCGAGAGTGCTGCAGTGTGTAGTAATGTCTGCATCGAGGTGTTGTAAACGTTCTCGGAGTTGTTGATTGTGGGGTTGCTGGCTAATGCATCTTAAGATACGCTTACGACGTCTCCAGAGACGCACTAGATGCGGGTCTGGCCTTATCGCCGGGGCTGTGGTGTTTTCTATTTTTGTGGCTTGTGTTCGGGCTTGTTTGATGGCGCATATCCAGGTCTCGTAAGAGCCTGATTGCTGCCCGGGTGAAACAAGGATGCTGCGAAATTTATCCCAGTTTGTATTTTTGACTGATATTTTCCGTGAGCGGCTAGAGATGCTGAATGATATTGAGAGAATGAAGTGGTCACTTAGAAGTCTCTCTTGAGTATGAACCCAGACACTCGAGTTTCTGCCGTGGTATAGTGTGAGATCTGGGGTGGTACAGTGTTGCTGGCGTGTGCCTTGTCGGGTTGGCATGTCGGGAGTAGTTAAGACAGTGAACTGGCGCTGTGAAATGTACGATTGCAGAAGTCGCCCTGGGCGAAGTGTGGATAGGTAACCCCAGCTGACATTTGGGGCATTAAAATCACCGCCCAGGGTACCTCGTAATTAGGTGTCAACTCTGCAACAAAGTCGAAAAGTGATTTGAATAGGCGGTGCTCTGTGGGGGGATTATATAGGTTGAGGAAGCATATAGGTCTGTGTTTAGGGAAGGGATAGTAAGCACATGCCACTACATTTTGTCTGGGAGATGTAGGGATGATCAGTGGTTCATACTGGATATCCCGTCTTATGAATGTGTAAACTAAAGGGGCCTCGTTTGGATGGTCATGCAAAGCTCGGTATCCTGGTATGTTAACTGCATAGCGTGTCTCCTGGAGTAGTAGAATATGGGGAAGAGAATCTAGGGTAAGGAGCCATTGATGAAGGGGAGTGCGGTTTGTTTTGATGTTCCGGCAGTTCCACTGGATGACTTGGAACTGGGAATTTTCTACCATTATGAGGTCGTGACTGAGGAGGGGGCAGGAGGGTGTGCCCTTTGAAGGGAACAGGGGTGTTCAGTGGATTCAGGAGAAAGGGGTCTTTTAAGAGATTGGGATGTTGCTTCCATGGGTGTGGGTGATGCGGAGAGCATACCGACAGCTTTTTCGAGGGATGCTACCGCCTTTGTTAGTTCTTCAATGCGGGATACGAGAGGGTTTACTGTGCCTAGTATGTTGGACACTAGTGTTTCGATGTTGGCTATACGTTCTGTGAGTTGGGCGATTTGTTCTTCACATGGGGTTAGTCGTTCTTTTAACATTATGAGTTCATGCTCCATGTGTCGTTGGTAGTTAGGAGAATCATAGACGGGGGGAGTAAGCGAAGTGAGTGCAGGTGAACGCTTGCAGGGAGAGGGAGTAAGTGATGGAGCAGGAGCACCTATCGATGGCGGCGATGGTGCTGGTTCTGTGAGGTTTGCTCGTGTGGTCTTCGGTTCTCGGGAGACTATGTCAGACTTTGGTTGAGATGTTGTTAGGTCGGCAGGGTGCAGAAGTGACCGTTGTTGTGGTAAGTCTTCAGTCTGGGATGACGGTGAACGTGGAGTCGTTGAGAAGCCCGCAGAGGCGTGCCCCCAGGTGGCCGTTGCAGGTAACATTCCCTTACGGGTTTGCGATTCTGTCGGTTTTTGCGCGTTGCGGAGTGATGCTTTCAGTTGCGCTTGTGCCTCTAGATGGTACTTGTTTAAGGATGGTGGTTGATATGAGTTTGAGGAACTCAGCTCCGTCTTGTGTTGAGCCGCCGATTGCTTTTTGTTCGCAGTCTGCACGGGGTAAGCTGGGGGCTTTTGCATATTACGTGGAAGGGTTTTTCGGAGATGCACACGATGTTCGTATGCCGCCTTCATGCTGGCTTGATCTTTTTGGCGCTGGACCGGGCAAGTCGAGTCGAAGGAAGAGTGTTCACCCCCGCAGTGGTAGCACCGAGGGGAGCAAGCGTGAGAGGCTTGTTGGTGAGGTATTTGCGCGGCGCATGTGGGGCATCTCCAAAATGTTGGGCTCTCTGGGCAATTAAATGTCCGGTGGCCGTACATACGGCACTTCTCACATCTCAGGGCACGTGGGCGGTGTGGGTGACACCGGTAGGTTGCCCGGCGAAAGAGGATGGTGCGGGGGACGTTGGCTCCTTCGAACGTAATAAGGACTGACTCAGTGTCCCCCATCATGCGTGCGGTGATAATGGTGGTTTGAAAGCTTTCAAGAGAGTGCATAAGGTCATTGGTTGTGAGTCCCGCTTCTACACCGTGGATGACCCCTTTGCAGGAATTTATCGGGGCGGCTAGGTAGGGGCTGATTTCATGGAGCTGATTCCTGACACGAATGCGTTTAGTTTGGCTGAGGCGACGTGCTGAACTTTCAAAGGCGGTTTTAAGGAGTATGACTCTTTGTTGGAGGCGGACGTCGATATTTACCTCTTCACTAGCGTGAGGTGGCAGGGAGGCTGCGGCCAGGAAGAAAGGGAGGAGATCGTACCGTTTGATGTCTTGAAGTTGCAGGCTATGCGGAATTGGCACCACCACCGTATGGAGCTCATTTACCTGGCGCGGCAGGGTGCGTTGGTTCCTGGACTTGCGGGGCGTGATCCACCCCTCGTTCGGGTCTTCTGCCTGGTGAAATTCGTCGGAGTAGTGCATCGACTCGGTGTCGAAGGTAGCTTCAGCAGCCGACGTGCCTACACATGTCGAGGCCGTCGGTTCCAGTTCGGTGGCATCCATTGCTGGGCGGGTTTCTGAAGTCAGGCGTCAGGCGCTGACGACGCAAGGCTTAACGGGGCTACCGAAGCCTTGGAACTGTAGATCGCTGGTAATCCGAAAAATTAAGACATACAACCGATGATATGATGTGAAACGGGAGCTGGAAGCCTCAAAGCCACGGTCTGCACGAATATTTCAATAGGTGAAACTCGAAAGCCAGGTGTCGCCTCATGTTTTGTGAAATATTTAGTGTAAGGTAAGAAATGTCAGGTTATGAACGACTAATCATTGTACTTTTTTTATTACATAATCCGCCATAGAGACTAAAACAAGGGCCAAAAGAAACACCGAGAATCTAATCTAAGGGAAAGATGGCCTCAAAAAATAATTTGCTACGTCGGGACGACTACGCGAACTTGAATCATTGATTGCTGCTTAGTGCATTTACTTCGCAGCAAAGGCGCTATAAATGGACGGCAATTTTTCTCTACTATAAAAAACACTGCAGAACTCATGGCTTGTTCGGCTGTTCCATAATAGACGGATCTCACCAAGCGTTCGGCGCATGCGTGATGTCGTCATCACTTTAGTTCAAAGGTGGCAGGCGGCAGTGCACGAGACGGCTAGTGCCGTTCCGTGCTCTACACGCGCAGATGTGCAGTGAGGTTTTCGCACGTGTACAAGGACTAAAGTTCCCTCGATGCATTTCGCCAGCAGTGGCGTCGTCAAACTGGCTGGTGACATCGGTCTGTTGGCCGGTCAGCTCAGTGTAAGTTCCTTATGCAGGCTTTTTGAAGGACGTTTACTGTTGTTCTCTAATTTCTTGATATATTTGCTGCGAAAACATAGGCATCGAATCATGTGGTCGGGAAAAATCAATATTCTACATTCGACAAAAGAAAGCTAGGTTGTGTTCTGTAAATGATACCATGTCGAAGATAGAGACGACGTCCCTAAGAGGATGGCGTAATTGCCACACATGTAGCTGAGATGTCTTACCCTTGCAAAAATATGTATGGACACTTCTAGGACGTTCTATAGACCAGCGTCCATAGGGAGGACAAAAGGCATCTATAGGCGGACCACGACCTCTGTTGCCTCCGTGAAGTCGTCCTATGGCTGCCCTATAGAATATTGGCCAACGGACGTTCTATGGACGTCCAATTCTATGGATGATGTGTGGTCATCCTATACCCTCTCTATGGCAAGGCGCCATATAGAGTACATACGGACTCTATAGGGCGTCTACACAGGGTCTTTAGGGAGTCTATAGGGTGCCTGTAGAAAACCCATACGAAATCTACAAGGAGTCCCTAGGGGGTCCACAGGTAAGCCATACAAGGTCTACACAGGGTCCTCATGGGGTCTGCAGAAAAGCCATACAAGCTCCACAGAGAGTCGCTACGGGGTCCGCAGAGAAGCCACTCAGTCTGCAGGGGGTCTGCTATGGGGTCCGCTATGGGGTCCGCACCGACCAACGTTTCTAGAGCAAGTCAGTTGAGAAACAGCTAAAGAGCTTGCTCTGAAAAAGCGGCACCCGATCTGTACTCGAAAACCAAACTAATTGCGATCCCAACGCCACCATTCCACCCGCAGGGGGGGATCGGTGGCCGAGTGGTCTAGCGCACACCAGCTCGGAGCACGTGGAGCGAAAGCTCGCGCTGCAGAACCCACCCAAGCAGCACCAGAAAGTGAATTTCGATCGGCCGACGGTTGGCCAGTGTCTGGACAGCTTGGCCACTTTAAGTGCTTGGCCACCGGAGACATAAACAAGGCCGGCAAGGGTCCGGCCACAAACTAGCTATTTTTAGCTTGTCCGCCGGAGACATAAACACTGCCGGCAAGCGCCTGGCCAGAAGTGCTCATTTTCAGCTTGGACGCCGGAGACATAAACACGGCCGGCAAGTGTTCTGCCAGCAGTGGTGATTTTCAGCTTGGCCGCCGGGGACATAAACACGGTCGGCAAGTGTTTGGCCAGCAGTGGTGATTTTGAGCTAGGCCGTCGGGGACATAGACACGCCCGGCAAGTGTTTGGCCACAAGTGCTGATTTTCAGCTTGGCCGCCGGAGACATAAACACGGCCGGCAAGTGTTTGGCCAGTAGTGCTGGTTTTCAGTTTGGCCGCCGGAAACATAAACACGGCCGGCGAGTGTTTGGCCAGCAGTGCTGATTTTCAGCTTGGCCGCCGGAGACATAAACACGGCCGGCAAGTGTTTGGCCACCTGTGCTGATTTCCACCTTGGCCGCCGGAAACATAAACACGGCCGGCGAGTGTCTGGCCAGAAGTGCTGATTCTCAGCTTGGCCGCCGTGGACATAAACATGGCCGACAAGTGTTCTGCCGAAAGTGCTGATTTTTAGTTTCGCCGCAGGGACACCCATAATCTAAACTTTCATCGCGTTGACGAAACTTTGTTATAACGACGGGCAGCGAGAGAAGCATCACGAGCGAGTGGTTGTCAGAATATTAGTGCGTGCATCGCGCGAACACTGTTAGCGCAAGCAAACGATCACCGTTTTATTCAGTTTTTTTTTCGTTAGACTTGAAAGGCTATTGTCTTAACTAGCACTGTCGTGTGATATGTTCATTTGGAACATTATACTAGAAGTGGGAAAATATTGTGCCCGTCGTTGTTCTATGAAAATAAAATACGAAAGCAGCGCCGACGTCATCTTCGCGTTAACTATACCGCTCTGTCGCCGCGCGGCACTCTTAGCGCGAATGCCACATCCGCGATTTTTCGGTTACCGCTCCAGATATTTACTTCCCAACTGCACTCGAAGAAAAAAAAAGTTGTAGTCGGGTGCATCGGGCGCAGATGCTCCCCTTTCCTGGAAGACGCACCCACCGTTACCCAGCCAGTGTACCTGTATACCGACCATAAGCCCCCTTCTCTAGCTTAAAAACCTATAGGTGTATCAATGCACTCAGTTTAGTAAACCGCCACGCTAGCCATGCACCCCGATCAGCTTGTGCTTGAATCGGATAAGATTGGATATTTCAGACTTTGTGTTTTGGAAGAGCCTAAACAAGACGTCTCTCATATATTGATTAAACTTAAGCTAGTCTCAGTAATGTTTCATATAGGTGCTAGGATGCTGATTTCCTGTGCCAACGAAAGCTAACAGCTTCGGTTAAAACCGCAACGGAAATGTTCAAAATCGAGCCACACGTAAAAGAAAAAGAAAATGAACATCTCGACCTAGATGTGCAGAACGCTGGTTTTGTTGTTAACAACGTGATTGTTGGCGGGTGGTGGGCAACGCCGTGACGCTATTGACGCTATCGTGGTGATTGACGCCAGTGATGCTCGGCCGTACTACACAGTAAAAGTTTTTACTGTGTAGTACACCCTCGGCTACACCTTTTTAACAACCTAAAACTAGGAATACAACCTCATAATTTTACCGAAAAAGGTGCTGTTTCGTGTTACACCCTACATTTAGTGAAGAATGTGAGAAGGGTGTAGAAGAGGGTGCTAAATAAATAATGTGAAATGGTTTTGGAAAGCTTATATATGGCTCTGTACATAATGTACAGGTAAGATTTCTGCTTGAAAAGCAACAGTTGTTAGCAGTCTAGTTTCTTATAATGTCAGTTGTAATTCATGCAAATAGCTGATAATTAAGTGCCTCTTTTGCATACAATTTTTATGTTTGAAAACAAAATTTTATATATGAGTTCATATTTAATTTTCTTACAAATCACTCCATGCTCAGAAATCGGAAAGTAGGGTGAAATGCTCTATACTAGCATTTTTTACAAATATTGATTGATGGAAGTGTACAGTGAGAAAATCAGTTAGTCTCGAGTTTATATCTGGCAACATGAAATCAAAATATTGTGAAAATGTTTGAAAAATATTTATGACATGCTGCTAGAACCTGTCTCATGACCATGTCAACCCGAGTAAAATATTCATTTGAGTATATGGTAACATGCACAAAAACTCACACAGATAAAGAGGCAAATCCCATAATAAACCAGGCCGAGACATCCCATAAAAAATGGCCTATGGTCGTCTATGGGAAATTCAATGGGAGGCTATCACCCCCTGCAGCTTCGCATGGTCGGCCTTAAAAATTTATAGATACAGCTACAGCCAGCTATAGAAAAGTTTAGGGCCCTGTGTCTAAAGTCTCAGGGCTATGTTTCAATAACAACAACAAAAATAATAATAATAATAATAATCAGTAAGTTAGTGTTTTAACAGTGTCCAGGGACATCCAATTGTTCTTGCGGGCGCAGTGCAATAGAACGAACAAACAGACGCTTGCGCGCTCGCAGTCGCACACATACACGCGCGCTCGCAGTCGCACACATACACGCGCGCACGCACGTACACACGCATGCACACGCGCAAACCTACGCCCGCGCGCAGACGCACACGCACGCACAACCGGAAACGCACACGCGCATGCACGTGGACGCATCCACACGCGTGCGCACAAACACACGCACGCGCCTGCACACACGCACACGCAAACAATTACGACGAAGGAAACGTTGCTTGTGTTAGTTTCGGTTTCGGTTTACACAAAAAAGAAACAACCTAAAGTTTAAATAAAACCTAAGATTTACTCACTTTTTGTAATGTTTTACATTATTATTTTAGTGAAATTCTTATTGTTACTAATATAAGTTTTTTTTTTTAGTATAGTTCTAAAAAAATAGCATTAAATAAAAAGGAAAAGAGACTCTTGAAGACTGCGCAAGACCATCGCTATCGCAATCAGCTTCCGTTGGGCTCGTTTGAATGGTCGTTGAAATTCCAGAAGCTTCGGAAATCTCGTTTTTTTTTACGTTTTAGCCGTTTTAGTGGATATTTTAAATATCTTCCTTACGAATACCGTGTTCAAGAATAACAATCGATGACTGAGAGCTGGGAGACGCTGTGTCTTGGCAACGCCCGTAAGTTCAGAACCGCCCATGCACGACTCGTGCAAACGCCGATTAGCAACTTTCTTTTGTTTCTGCGAAGTGGGCTGCTGTTTCAAACTTTGTCGTGTACCGTGTGCTTG